GGAAATGCCAACGTCAAAGGAAGAGCCAGCGTTAGAGGAAAACACCTCCGCCCGTACATTCTTTGCATGTCAAAAGTGTCAATGGTCACAGGGATCAGGCGGGTCCAGGTCGCCATCCTCGTAACTGTCATCGTCTTTGAGCCTTCACATCTTCTTTGCGTGTCAAAAGTGCTGACAGTCACAGGCATCAAGCGGGCGCCCCGGAGCCACACCTGTGAAACAAACGAGGGTGAGCCACACCTATGAAGAAAAAAACTCCGCCGGCTCATGGTGGGGACGCCTATACATTACCCAAATAATGGCGAATCAAAGGGAATCGAAGATGGGAAATTTGATAGAGTCGAGATTCCAGTGGTATGTAAGAAATACCCTGCAATTACTGGAGCCTGGATGTGCTTTGGTTTTAGCTTGTGCCTTGTAGTTTTGTAGCGCGTAGTATCCCAGCAAGGCAGGACATCCAGGGTCCAGGTAGTTGCTTTGGTCGATTTAAGCGGTTAAGGGCTTCGGGCTTAACATCTCGATTATTGTGGTAATATCCGTAGACGCTAAATCCGAAATAGTAGTTTCTATTTTCTTGCCTATTATCCTTGTATTATTTAATCCCCTCACACAGATGTAACACATATAGTAGATAATTCATATTGTATGCCATCTATGATGGGTTATACATTATAAGTATACACAGCGGAGGGACAGAGGTTTCCACAAGCTATTCGATCACCTCCCCAGAGACTCCTGCAGGTGCCTCACCACGCGAAGAGTTGGCTCTTTTGGAGAAGTCTCTGGCTGGGAGATCTCTGCGAAGGCTCTCATCATCTTTCAAGCTTAGGCTTTAGGGATTATGGGGATATCTTGGGAGAATGGAAGGACCAAACGGAAATTTCTGTCAAGGGATCAGGGTTTAGGGTCTAGGGTTTAGTCTGTACACACATGCTCTCCCTTATCAGCGACTGAAATGACTTCGTATCTCCTGTTCAAGGCCTAAGTGCACCATCGCTATGTAGTCATTTCACTCGTTGATCGCTATGGCCTCTACAGCGAAGAAGAAACTAAAGGGTCGCCGTGATCTTTGGAGCTTTGCCCCCGATAATTTCTAATTACTTAGATGTTCGTGACAAATCTGGGCAAAACTTATGCCGGCTGCCCTCATGCCCGGATGCAGAACTTATGCGACCGCCAGAGTCCAGCAGCTTCTAGGATTGGGATGCATGAGCAAATGCATCTCATAGACATTGCTTTGTTACTCAGGGAGACGCATTGTACCCTTTCCTTGTGCTACCCTTTCAAAGGTTGCTTGAAGCCTGAACCATTGTCACCAAGTAATGAGGCAGTATTGGTTGTCAGCCTACAGAAAAGATCGGTGCAACGCGAGCAGGTACCAACCTTGCCAGAAGCGCGCTACATCGCGCTGCTAGTGCTGCGAAGGATCGTGGTGGGTTGGAAGAAGGCCAGATGATGCATCCTTCTTGGTCAAGCGGAAGTGTGGCCGTTTGGCCCAAGATGCTTAGCCTGAACCATCCCTTGTCAGGGCTACAAAGGGCGCACGTACAAAATACTCCGCGCCGACCTAAGCCGTCCCTGCTTCAGATGACAACCTACTGGGTTGCTGTCAAGGAACTTAGATTAAGTTACCAGAATGGGTATATATAGTAAATAATAAGGTTTCCCCAATATAGTAACAAACATTAAGTTCATTAACAGCAACCCAGCCTAAGAGGAGCCTGCTGTGCAGGCACAAGCACACCAAAGTTACTTACCTCCACGCGCCAGGCATCAGAAATTGCCACCGAATTTTAGATGTTCAATATTCCCACTTTATTATCGTATACCACAATGGGAGTATTTGTTGTAGTATACTATCACATATTGGGAATATTTACTATCAAGGGGGGAGGACGTTGTCACCTTGGAACCCTGCAGGATCTCAGTTGGGAAGAGTTGGAACCTTTCAGCGTGCAGCCTGACGACCTGGTCCCTGGCCCGAGAAAGCTTTCCCAAAATTAAGGGTAAGGGTGATATGCTGGTAAAATGGCAGCTACTAATTAGGGTTCAGGGTTTCCCAAAATTCGTGTACCTATAATAAGGGGTATAGTATACTGGTCTCTACATTGCGGTCCCTTTGCATTCTGCCGTGCCAGGTCGGTTGGCAGATCTTTCTGAGCAACGCGGATCTCAGTTACCGGGCTGTTAAGGCATTCAAATTAAGATACCAGAATGGGTATACATAGAATTGAATAATACCTACATTTCCCCAGTTTCCATTTCATTTTCCATGGTCTTTTCCAGTTGATTCTCATAGGGAACTAATACAGCTTAAATGGCTCAAATTAAGTTCCTTAACCTAAACCCTAAACCCTATATTATACCCCCATATAGTGGTTGAATTAAGTTCCTTAACCACAACACAGGTTATCCAGCAGATCCGGAGAATGGCGCAGATCAGGCCTGCTTAGCTTACGCACTGGTTCTCAGTAGGGGATAAAGGAGGGAATAAGGGACTAACAGGGGCAATATAGGGAAAGTGGAAAACAAAATGGAAACTACAACACTATAAAGTATACTAGGGTATATACTGGGGTTACAGTAGGGAATGACTGGTTGAGTTGGTATTAGGGGATAAGGATAATGGAAAAGAACATGGAGACTACTATACGACATTATTAGGGTTATAGTCGGGAAGAAGGGAAAATTACATCATATTATGTAGGGCATATTTGCCCTTGGTCCCTACTAACATCCAGTAATCTTATGAGAGAGCTTCGAGCCGCCAGCGCCTGCCACGAACTTGCTGGCAGTTCTGCATTGGTGGACGAGGCTGCGATGAAGCCAAGCACCTGGTTGCCCATGACATATTACTAAGTATGACTAATTGTTTTTGGTTCTCCTTGATTATATTGTTATCAGTGTTAATAATACGATTTAGACATGTGCCACGGACATTGTGTACGGTTCGAATCCCGAGCAAAGAGAATTTGAGATGTTGGTTCGATCGGTTTCCAGGCTGGACTCTGTGTCTTTGACATCAAGCCTCCAGAGGCCCCGGGCGCGGGGTGGAAATCCTGCTGAGTCGCTCCGCCTTCCATGCAGCCAGGAACTGACGTCCGGCCTGCACGTGCACAAGGCTTGAAAGGGAGCGTCAAAAGTAGTTGCGAGGAGAGCATGACCTGAAATTGCACAGGTCTCGGTGAAATTGTCCCCGGTGAGGCAGCTAGCAGTGGCAGTTCCCTTCTTTGAGGCTTCAGAAGCAAGCAAGCAAGCTGCACTTGAAGATTCGCGCGTAGCTGTCGCGCGCAGGTGATGCCGGCTCTGAATATCTCTGATTATGTTGGTGCAGATACAACATATGAGGCTGGGCAAGTTGCAACGAGCTCAAACGCTCATCAAGCTCAATTCTAGTTGTAGTTGCCATTGGGAATATGCCAAACGGGGCCTTACTTCAGGGTTGTCAATTCTCCAAACTGCTCAGTTGAGCTATAGTCTAAACTCCTTAAAGGGTGTTACACAGGGGATATATAGGATAATATTACAGAAGTTATTAAGGGGGATGCTAGGAGTTTAGACTATATATATATATTCATATATATGTATATAGCTCAGATGAGGTCTGCCTTTGCTCTTGGATTGCCCAGGAGTTCATGACTGTGAGGCAGAGCCTAGCCAGGGGCTCAGCGTTCACCGGGTTGCTGTTATTGAGCTGGGTTTAAGCTGTTTATGGGAAACCATATTCGTCTAATACATATATATATATATACATGTATGTCCACTATGGCAATTTAATGACAGCAACCCAGTTCGAGGAAATTTCAGATTAATTGCCAGGACTTTTCTGCACATACCTCATGATGTTAGGACCATGCCGACTTGGGCATTTTCGAGGACGTTGACTCTGTGTTGCTTGTCAAGGACTCCCTCAAAATGCACATTCCCGCCTGAGGACAAGATCCGTTTGCGAACGGAGCTCCTTCCTGCGGCAGGCGTTCTTGCCACACCTAGACCCGGCCTCTGTGAATCCAAAACTTCGGTTGACGTGTTTGTTGGATTCAGTTTGTCACATGAGGCATACATCTCTCCAACACAGACTTTGACATCGCTCACCTGCTTGAAGGGCGCCAGAGCTATGTGGTCCCACCATGCACAGTTACTAAGTCTCCTGAACGCACAAGACCCTTGTTCAGGGACTTTCAGGAAAAGCTTGAGCTGCCGCAGCAAATTATCCTGTGCTTGCTGACGTGCGTCATGTGTAGACCGCTTCTCTCGCACAATCCTTCAGTACGTCAGAACTACACATGGGAGGTCTCTTCAATGAACTATGGCTAGCAAGCATCCTAGTTCTTACAAGCAACCTTGCGCATCTCCGTCGCTTTTGAACATCTCCAAAAGTTCAGTTTGGGATCGTTCACAGCGACGCAATGGCTTGTCCAGACAGACCCCTAGAAGCACTCCCAAGTCAAGACGTGCAAGACAATGCCCCAGACCACTCACCAATGGTCCACTTCCTGGGGAGCTGTCGAGGACAACGTCCATTCCACGCTAAATACTTGTTAGGGCCAGCAGACCCTGCACAAGACGCAATAGCATGTGAGCCATGGCCTGTAGACTTCTCAAAGGAGTTACATAATGTTTATGTAGGGGACTGCAGTGGGGGCTATTAAGGGGGATACTGGGAGATTGAATTATAGCTCCTGTCTTAGGATCGATCTCGGGAGGAAGTCCTGGGCTTGTTCATTGCTGTTCCGATTGCCTCCGCCTAGGATGACGCTCAGTTTGGAGTGCCATGATTTGTTTCGTTGTCTTCATCAGACCAGCTTGCTGGTTCTTCGTAGGAAATTAATAAGGGAATATGATCCCTTTATAACATACTCCCTAATTATTCCCAACACTAAACCCTAAACCTAGATACTATATTCCCTTGTTTTCCTTCCCCATTACCCTAAACCACATACAGAGTATTCCCTTCTTCCCTACTAAAAACCAGTGACTGTAAGCCAGAGCCTAGCCAGGTCAAGCCATCACACATGTCGGAGTCGCAGAATGTCTTCGTCATGCACAATGGTCACGCCCCCTTTTCAGTTTACTGGTTCTTGGCAGGGAAGAAAAGAATACATTATATGGAGATTATATAGGGGGTATGTTCCCATATTCCTTGCTGCGAGCCAGTGAGTCAAACTACGCATCTCTTGTCTGTGTAGTGACAACATCTGCCGAGAAGGAATCAACTTGCTACGTCAAGCCTGGGGTTGGCCCGGGCAGTCGCCCATCGACGAAATTCAGGCTTCAACTAAACCCCAAGTGACGCTAGACACTTCCTGTGCAAAGTCTTTCAATCTTGATTGGATGACTCAATCGTCCGGAGGCGGCTGTGTACGAGTTCTCCAAGAAAACGGCTCTGGACTGGGAGCCGCGCGTCCCCAAAAGTCATGACTGCAGGGAAGATTACTTCAGCAGGAATGAAGAGGGGCAAAGAAAGTGCAAACTACTAAGTATGTGGTTGGGGTTAGTATTGGGCTACCACACGCATGCATAGCAAGCACCTAGAAGTGACGTCGACGCTCAACCGGGTGAATTAGCATTTTTCCGTATGTTTTTGGTGTTGTTTTCCGTATTTGTTTGGTTTTGATGGGCCGGGTTTGGGGAGAAAGACAGACAGAAAGAAACAATAAAGACAAATGAAAGAAACAACGAAAGAAAAAAGAAAGAAAGAACAAACGAACCAAAGAAAAACAGGCAAGAACCGGAGAAAGAACGAACTAACGATAATGAAAGAAGTAAAAAAGATAAAGAAAGATGGACAGAAATAATGAAAGATGTGAGTGAATTGACAAAGAGAGAAAGACAACAAGAACGAACGAAAAAAATAATAATGACACATACAGATACTAAAGAAAACAAAGAACGAGATAAAGAAAGAAATAGTATAAACAAAAGGAGGATCAAGAGAAAGTCAGGAAGAACGAAATACAGGAAGAAAGCAAGATGAAACAAAGAAAGGAAGGAAGCAAGGAACGAACAAGATAAATACATAAGGAAAGAGAGACGCAAAGAACAACAGATACAGGACAAGGGAAGGAAGAAAGAAGGAAGTGACAACAGAACAACAGATTGAAGGAAACAAAGTAAGGAAGACACAAAGAAAGACAGATAGACAGGAAACTGGAAGGAAGAAAGAAAAACAGAGAGAGATGGAACATCAAGACAAACAAGATAAAGAAGAAACAGCCATCCCGCACAAGGCCTTCGTGTTGCTTCAAAGCCGCGTCTGCTGGCCTCAGGAGGTTGCCTTCAAAAGTTCCAAACGTTCACCCAGGCGACATATCATCTAGTCATAATGTTTGCAAATTTGAGGGGGGGCTGCCCCCCCACAACGGCCTAACCATCCCGCTTTTTGTTCAAGCTGCGCAAACTGGCATCAAAAGAGACCCGACCATCCTTGATGGCAAGCCGGGCCAGCAGTTTCTTGGGCACCTCGCATAAGACCCGCGTCCCATCCATCGGATTTCGTGGACCTCTTTTTGAACCTGATGTTTACTGGTGATGTCAGTTTTGTTCTTTACTTGTTTGAACGATATGAGCGAAGGAAATGAGTGAATGAGAACCGCAGAAACAAATGACGCATCAGGGACAAAGGGCCGCTCGCTCTTGTATGCTCGTATTACTTCGTGAGCATACTTAATTTCTTGCATTGGCTCGTAAGCCAATGAAAGAAAGGGAGGAAGTGAGTGAGTTTAATGAGCTTATTTGTGTTTTCTTTGTTTCGCTCACTAAATGAAGACACGACATGGAACCCCAGCATGATGGAGTCATTCCTGATATGGCTACCGGTCAATATGAAAGGTCCGGAACAAGGGCGAGCGCACATCCCGATCCAGACCCCAATCCAGAGCTCCGGATCACGTCCTCAAATTCCGATCCAGACCCCTCCATTCCAGACCAACGAATGCAATATCTCCAAATTCACATTGTGCTGGGTGTCCGTTCCATGCTCGTTCCATACCTGTTCCAAACCAAACGAAGTACTTAGCGCATAATCAGCTTGTATCACTTGTGGGAACCAGCAGGAGTCAGTCATTGTTCCAGACCCTCCGGATCAAGGCTGCGATCCAGACCCTCCGGATCAGACAGCATAGGAACGTGCACGCAGGGCACATGGTTTTGACCAGTAGCCATATGTTTCTGTAGTTACAATTTCCTAGAGGCTTGAATAATTTTGGATCTTGGAACTCTTCTAACTTTAGGAAATATTTTCATCCTCTGGTATTCTTCAGGAAATTTACCGCCAGCAATAATCTGGTGGTGGAATCTGTGTCCTGGACTCGCGGGAGGTCGCCTGTAAGAGTGTCTTCCGAAAGTTCAGGAAGGCATCGTGTCATCCAGTCATCACGTTTGCAAAGGGGGGGGGGGTGTGCCCCGCCCCCCACCCGCCCCCTTGTTAAGCCGCGCAAGCTGAAATCAAAAGAGACTTGTCCCATCATCGCGTTGGCAGGAGGCTTGCCTGTAAGAGTGTCTTTCACAGGTGTACACAAGTAGCATGTCATCCAATCATTCTGTTTGCAACTGGTTGCAACTGATGGGGGGGGGCTGCGCCCCGCCTGACACCAAAGAGACCCGACCCTCCTCGATGGCAATTGCACCTCGCGTAAGAGCCTCGTCCCATCATCGCGTTGGTAGGAGCTTTCCTTCAAAAGTTCCAATAGTTCACCCGGGCAGCATGTCATCCAGTCATGATGTTCCCGCAATTCCGATGCAGACGCTGCAATTCGAAACAAGCCTTCTGGGAAAGCATGCCCGAACAGCCTTAACCAAAAAATACGGATAAACGACCCGGAAGCTCCCCCAAACAACGGGGACAGCATGCCCTAACAGCCTTTCCAATAAACCCTTAAAGCATAAACCCTAAACAGCATCAGGTGCAAGGCGCTGGTGGCCAGCAAGCCTGGGGTCATAGTGGAAGAGCTTGTTCTGGCTGAGGCTGTGGGCAAACCTGTACCTTAAAAGGGAGATGCAGGACTGATATAGGGGTTATAGTCATACGGGGCTATGTAGAGTTTAGGGTTAGGGGCTGAAATGAGTAGGGTTTAGGTTTGGATGTATAGGAGGAATGGAAAAGGAAATGGAAACTACTACATTGTTTGGGACTTAGGGCTAGGGCTGATAGTGACCCTGCACCTGCAATGATTCAGGGTTTGGGTTTAGGGTTTATTGCTGCATGGGATCACAGCGATTGGGGCCGCCCCTCAGCACCCCACCTCTCCAACATATCTTGGCATCCTAAAGTCAGGGGTGCCATTGTAGGGCCCCCATAATGCTATAACGAGGACTATGGTATTTTGGAGTCTATATTGGGGTCCCACTATTTAGGGAAACTACCACACATTGCCAAGAAGAATAACGATTTCTGCTGAAGGGCGTGGCAGAGGGCGTTGTCCGCACCAGAGAGCATGCGTCATAGTCGTCGTAGTAAATATAGTCCCGTTAAGTAGATAGAATATGGGGTATATGGGGATCTTTTTGTTAATATACCCAAAGCATCCCAAAGCCATATTCTATTTACTTTAGGAAGGCTATATCAACGTGTTAACTGTTGCTCCCACTAACGTAGGTATGGTTCTTGTTGCAATTATACTCATGGTCATTACCGCTAGAAAGTGCCGTTGTAGCGCTGTTTTGTTCTCGAGTTCTCGGGATCTGCTACAAGTCGCCATATACACGTTACACATGAGTTTCATTGATACGCACAGAGTAGAGACGGCGACCTGCCCAAACCCACAAAAAAAAGGATACCAAGCCCAATGATGCCTGAATTAACCATGCAGGCGGCCAGTGCGGTTCTTTGCTGTGATTGTTGTGTTTTGTTTCCAGTGCTGTGGCACTTGCACCAGCATCACGCGTAACCAGAATCATTACAGCTTCTACGTACAAAAAGTTTGCGGGTTTCATGGCACCTGTTCACAAGCAATCTCTACCGGCCAGCTTTCGTACGCCACCTCTTCACACTGGCAGGGCGCCATTCGGGCGTATATGTAAGTAATAGTCAAACAGAGCAGTTGGCACACCCTGAATCCATCGCGCTCTCCCGACGTGGTTCCTGTTGAAGGTGGAAGGTGGCCGCTTCACGGTTGATGAATTCAAGCCCTGAGCCCAGCAATGCCACATGTTGAATTGTCAAGTTCCAAGTGGGACCGTGAAGGTTTTACACGGTTTTTGGCCAAGTGGCGTTCGGAGAGGTCGACACAGTTAGCAGATGTTAGCAGCATGTTTTTTGGCACGAGCAGAGGGGTGCTTGGCCGAAGGAGATCTTCTCTTCAGCAGGCACTGTCATGGAGATTGACCGCAATGGTCAGATTCTCACAAACAAGGCGCCCGGCCTTCAAGGGTTGTGCAAACACTTTTTGAAACTTGGGGTGTGCACGCATTGCACGCGGCTCAGATGGAGTGCCCTCCTTTTTGTGTACGCCCTTGCTATGCGCAAATGGTGGAGATCGCTGAGAAGGCGCTTAGTTGCAAGGTGATGCGAGATGAACGAAATCCCTGTACGCCCAACATGGTGCCTAAAGTGTCAAGCGCACCCAAGGTGGCAACCTATGCTCGTGCCGATTTTCTTCGTGTTGATGTGCTGGACTGCATCCCATGAAGCGCATGCAGCGTCTTGAAAACTTGGAAAGCTCTTTCAACTTGCTGCGCTGACAGGTTGCAGGCCGGTGCGATGGCCTTTACGTGAGCGAGGTGGGTCACCAGGTTTTCTACAGCTTGAAGCGGATTCAGACTGATCAGCGTTTGTCAGGTCGAGCTTTTTCCCGCGAGTGACTTCAGCCCTTTTCTCAAGGACCTCGCTCACAGGCTGTTGTGAGCCTGTTCCACGCCAAGACTCCCGCCAGGAAGCTGTTGCAGGTCGATGGCGCGCGGGTTATGGGGTCAGAGCCTGATATCAGGGCAGCCTGGGAGTTTCCACATAATTCCACAAATTGTAGGGGGCCCCAAAAAGGTATCCCTAATGTGGGAAAACCTGCATCCTTTTTACATCCCCATCTACCCCTATCTACCCTCTATATCGCTCAAATTACAATACCCTAAACCTTTTTTGGATCCCCATGCACCCCTACATAACCTCTACATACCCAAAACGGTTCCTCTAATTTTGGGAAACCCTCTACCTCCGAGGTCTAGATCGGTCGATCAGCTCGGCAAGCCGCTTTTGGGCTCCGGTGACTCCACAGACGTTGCAAGACTGGTACCTGGACCCCAGAAGTAGGCGAGATAGTGGCCAAAGAACACGAAAAACAGCCAAAAAGGCAATTATGCTACGTACTTGGGGGTTCAGGTGATCACTTCATACTCATGTTAAATACCCCATCCACACACTACTATCAAAGATTCCCTCATGAGACTTCAAGAGACCTGATATAAAGGGGGCCGCAAACATTGATGGTGGGGGGTATTTGATATGAGTATGAGGGGATTATTTGCAGCGCCTGTGAAAATCAGCCCTTGGTAGACGGCAGGTAAAAAAATTCAGTCCAGGAGACTGGGTTCAAGGATCACGTCACAGGAGTTTCCCACTACGATTAAGTAGTACTCTCGCCATTAGTGTTTATACTACTCTTATTTTTAGCTAAAACATACTACTATCATTCTTACTGATTCTTACTGTTACTAGTACTATAATTATTGCGTGTGGCGAGCTCTGCACGCTGCCTGAATTTTGCAGCAGCCATTGCTCTCAGCACTCCACTTATGTGGCTATGGCAGAGCCCGTTACTCTTCAGGCTGGGTGGCCTCCGCCAGCGTTAGAGTCAACGGTGGCCCTGAAAACATTAAAAAAAAATACTAATAACAACAATAATAACAACAGTAAAAATAACAACAATAATGATAACAGTAGCAATAACAAAAGTACTAATCACAGTAATAACAACAAGAACAATAAAACCAACAACAATCATGATGACAATAGTTCTAATAATCACACTTATCATGTAGATTTGAGAGGTTGAAGTTCCAGAAGGAATAGGACCAGGCCACGCTTCAGCCTTGAAGAAGCCCTTCTTTTGAGTGGTGTGTGCCAATTTCAGGTGCAAATTTCAACGTTAGCACGCCGGATGGGCAGGTGCCTGCATTTGCCGCGAACAGCAAGGGCTTGCTTTTAGAATGATGATGATTCACTAAAGGAAGCCGTATAGGGATCCGTAGTTCTGGGTCCCTCTTGTACTTATATGATAGTTTCACTAACACGTGGGACCCCAATATGTAATCCTTCTTATTGAGACCCTCAAAAAGGTACCCCTAATTTGGGTAAACCCCCAGATGGGCCCCCTTAGGGTTTCCTCAAATTACTGGCCATGCTGCAGATTTTTTTGGCTCTGGCAGCCAAGTCTGCCGTTTGAGGCTGCAAAAGTTGTTGCAGTCGCAGCAATCTGGGTTCTGTATATCTAGTAGATATTAGAGTTTCCTTAATGATATGCGTTATGGATATGTTGTAGAGAATTGGTGTCCTTATAACTTAAAGAAAGTTCCATGGGTATGTAGTAAGCTACAGAGTTTCCTTATTATTGTAATTTAAAGAAAAGTTCCATAACCGCAGCCCAGCAATGTGCAAGCGTGCTGCCGGCCGTTCGCAGAGCAGCATAGCGCAGCTCACCACCGCGATCGTAAGTGCCGGAAACCAGAGGAATTGGCTGCGCGCACTGGAGTTACTGCGCTGATGTTGAGGAACTTCGATTAAGTTACTATTAGTAAGGCAACCCTATTGTTTAATATATAGCCATATTATGGTATAAGGTAACCCTAGTATTTCCTATATACCCTTAGTTCTATGGTAGACTTGATTTAAGTTCAATTTGCAGCAACCCAGGTTAATCACCAAGCCTGATGGGCTGCCTCGGGCAGCATGGCAGCGGTCAGTTCAGCCAAGAGCAGGATTTTAGGCTCAGGGTTCAGGGATTTTGGGTTTTGGGCTTAGGGGTTTAGGGATTTTGGGCTTAGGGGTTTTCGGGTTCAGGGCTTCGGAATTTTCAGGAAGGAGGCCGGCCCTATATGACACTATAGAACCCTATGTAATTCTATATATATATATATACAACCCTACATAGCCCCACACGACCCTAAAGTACCCTCTATAATTCTATGTATTTCTGCACAACCCTACATAGCCCCACATGACCCTATAGAACCGAACAATTATAAAACTATGCATAACCCCAGATTGACAACACATACCTTAGGTACTGCCCCCACCCAGTAACAGTCTTTTTTAGGGGTCCTATTCAGGGCTATGTATAATCATATTAACATTGTAGTAGTTTCCATTTTCTTTTCCATTATCCTTCAAAAAGCCCTATATATACCCTATTATGACATGATAGTTTCCATTTTCTTTTCCATTATCCCAATATAGCCCCAACCCCAAACCCTAAACCATAAACCCTATATAACCCCATTGTAGTAGTTTCCATTTTCTTTTCCATTATCCCTATTATCCAACTGTTACTGAGGGGGGGGGGGTACCTTTCCTCTCAGGACTTGGTCTGCTTCGGTGCAGCTCTTGCAGCTGTTGGCAAGGAATCTTGGAATAGTGGCTATGTAGGGTTTAGGGTTTAGGGGGATTGTATGTGGGTTATGTAGGGATGGAATTAGAGGGATAGGATTTAACATTGGTTATATAGGGATTATACGGGGGTTGTCAAAGGAATTATAGTGATAGGATCATATATGGAGCATATAGGGATTATGTGGGTTATAAGGGTTCATTTAAGGACTATACAGGGAATTATAGGGAAATTGTCCCCATAATGGAGAATACCCACGAACAAACCGTCATGGACACTGTGGCTCACGCCTGTGAGGCAAACGTTTGGGAGGCGGCCACCTACATACTGGAAACCATGAGCAATGCCAAAGTGGACTGTGATGCGCGCGGTGCTTCCAATGCAAGTTTGGTATGAGAGAGCAGCGGACTGCAGTCGGTCCAGATTTGCAGCTCAGGTTTGAATGCAGTTCTGAATGCTTGCAGCAAGAGTACTGCATGGGAAGCAGCACTGAGCTTGAGGCTCGAGGATCTCAATCCGCACGGCGTTTGTGAATTTGGGGGGGGGGTTCGGGTCTATTGGTATCCCCTTTTTTGGGAAGCTACAATGTTGCTCTCCTTTTAAACTCTTAGATGGAGCCATCCTTGCATCCCAGAGGCAAATGTCCCCAAGCTTGTCCAATGTGATGAGCAACGGCATGGTCATGAACGCAATCGCAAAGGCCAAGGGAGCAATTCAAGGGCTGGTGTCGGGCGGCCGGGGAGGGATGGCACTTGGAAGGATGTTCGTCTGAACCCTAAGCCCTAAGATGTATGTTTGCTGTGGCGGCAGTTGAGCTGTGTCTAGTACCTTACCAGGCCAAGCCGGCCAAGCCAAGCAAGCTCCATGCATGACTTGCGCGCTTAAAGTAGGGGCCCAGATTGGGTGCATACCAAAGTGATTGGCTTGCAGCAAAGCCTGCAGGGCCCACACCCGTTGCACACCCCGTTACATGAGCCATAGTCTAAACTCCTTAAAGGGGGATTATATAGGGGACTGTTATAGGGGCTACGCACATAGGGTATGTCACTGAGAGCGGGTTTCGCGACAGCCCCTCAAACATGGCCTTTTACAAAAGCAGTGCAAGAGCGCGACAGAGGGTATGTACATACTCGCGCTTCAAGGGGTATGTAAAAGAGGGTTTTCAGCGCGGCAAGGCACCACAGGGCCTTTCGGCATGTGCCAATATGGCTTGTCTATAAACTACTAGTATGCAGTTTTCGTATCATTTGCCATCTTTTTGGAATTGATTCTCCATTATTCTGGTAACATCCCTCAAGCCCCATCTATCCCTCAATACACGCATGTAACCCCCACATCCTCTTAAAAGGTACGTAAACCCAGCGTGCATTTCATGATCCATTTGATTTTCCATTACTGGGCAATGCGCTTAAATTTTAGATACCCTTCTATGCAGGCCGCAAGTTGGACTTTAGCTGTGGCATTCCTCGCGAACATGGTGGAGTCAGAACTGCAGGCAGCTTGCCACTCTTCCACTTCTTTAACATGCTGCGCATGCTGCACTTAGAGGGCGCAACTTGCAGGCAAATACCATCATCTTCAGCTCTGCCATTAGCACCTGGGTTGCATCTTCCGCCATTCTAGCCTTGCAGAGGAAGCATTTGTGGAACACAGCCTGGGAAGTGAAAAATTGCAGGTGCGTGCGCGGCCGATGGCATGTGGGGACCCGCCTTGGTCATGCTGGATACGATGACGGTTGAGATGGTGGAGACCAATGCCATCACTTTCAATGCTGCGCGGGGCTTTCTTGCTAGAGATTGCTCAAAGGCTACGTTGGATGGTGCCGGGACTGGAAGCTGCACATCTTGTCTGCACCTGCAAGGCCATTTGTGCCTGCGCCAACGCGCGGCGGTGGCAAGAAGCGCTGGCTCTTTTGACGAAAATGTCCAAAGTCAGGATGCTTGGAACTGCATCAGCTCCAAGAGCAGTTCCCGGAAAGGTCAGTGCCTGCCTAGTTGGAAAGAAGCCGAGGATGACCACGGCAGTATCCTATAGCTCTGCAATCAGCGCTTGCGAGAACGCAGGGAGGTGGTGCTTAGCGAGTGTCCAGCAAATTCTTATAGGAAAGGCGCTGGCATTCAGCCGATGCGCGCAGGAATTGTGGAATGGTTCGAACCGCAGTGCAAAGTAGATGTGGCTGTACTCTTGCCTTGTCATCAGGTGGGATGTCGCGCTGGCGCTGCTGCATCGGCTTGAAAACGATCGTCTGCAGAAGAATTTGATTTGCAGCTAAGCTCAGAACACGCAGAGCGCCTGCGCAGAGCGCCTGCGCCTGCCTTGCGCCTTGCGTGAGAGGGGTTTCTCAACTCAGCACTTATCCGACTTATCCTCAATAGTTCTCCGAGGCTTCGGGGCAGCGCTGAGCACCTGCGTGCGCGGTGGCCGCGGTGGCTGGCAAGCCGGTGCTGCCCTCCTGGGCCTCCTGGACCCGCATGCCGTGGATACGACCAGCTCCTGATCTGAAACGTCAGAGCGTGAGAAAGTGTCAGTAAGCAAGTAAGTAAGTGAGTAACTGAGTGAGTGAGTGAGTGTCTGTGTTGCAGATCCCCTCACTGGGACCAGCACCTGAAGCATCAGGCATCAGCTCTGTCATCAGCGCATGCGAGAACGCAGGGCAGTGGAGCTTAGCGTGCCACCTTTTGGCACACCTTGATTCTAGCACAGGCTGCAGAAGGCACGGTACTAGATAAGGGGGGCGTGCATCACGTGGATAAGTCATGGCATGCGGGTGAGAGTCTCAGCTGCTCGCGGCAGGGATGTGATTGCCTGCAACGCGGCTATAAGCGCATGTGAAAAGGGCTGCGATCTCAGCTGCACTTCGTGCAAGCGGTGTCAGCATCTGGAACCTTATGTAATCCTCATATCAAACCCCGTATAGTCCATATATAACCGCCTTCAGACAGCTCTACAACCCCAACAATCCCTACAACCCTAAACCCTATACCCTAATACCTAAACGCTATAAAACCTCAACAAGCCCCAAAACCCCAAACCCTAAAACCCCATATCCTGAAAAGCCTTAAACTCCTCTATTGATCCTACAAGCGGGGGGTTTCCCAAAATCAGGGGGTACCTTTTGGGGGTCCCATCTATAAGCATTGCAGTATTTGGGGGTCTATATTGGGGTCCCCCCGATTTTGGAAATTACCATAAGCCTAAACCCTAAAGGCCCTAAACCCTATAAACCCTATCGTGGGAAATAGACCCTAAACCCTAGACCCGAAACCACATTTTTAGGAAATTCCCATATCCCTAAACCCTGGACCCTAAACCCCAAACCCTAGACCCTAGGCCTTAAACCCTAAACCTAAAACCCTCAACCCATTTCGGAAATTCCCTATACTATAATAAGATCCCCATACACCCCATATTCTATACCTTCTATAACCCATTATAGTAATTTCCATTTTCTTTTTTCCGTTATCCCAAATATGTATAACCCAATACATACCCTACAATCCCTCTATAAACCCTATAATCCCTGTAGTTTCCATTTTCTTTTCCATTATCCCAATATAGCCCC